ATATATAATTATTGGCATTTCCCGCACTGTATATTTATGAAGTTGTGACGTTTGTTAAAACTCATCTTGAAATATTTAATGATTGCAGTCAGAAAATACATTATGTTTAGTTCGTGTAAAACAGTTTTTTTTTCACGAACACTAGTTATGCAAATTACCCATTCTAATTTTTTGCACATTAATCGTTTTCATATTCTGAAATATCTTTTTTGTCTAGTAGTAAACTTGATTCAAATTGCAAATTAATGTGTCCGTGTTTATCATTCATTTTTATAGTTCTACTGGCAAATCGTGATTTATAAAATAATTACAATCAATTAATTTGTAGACTTGCACGAGTTGCAGAGACCTTCAATTTTCTTTCGGATCGCATAAGTATATCTAGTAATTAGTGTTATTTCAAAAAAGTCAACATGAAAGTTAAAGATCTTAAAAATAGATTAGCTAAGATCATCATGTGTTTTACCTAGTTTGAAGAGCACCTCCCGCCCTCCTATTCCCGTCTCATGGAGGGAAGTGCTTATCAATCTAGTTAAGACTCATCATTTTACTATATAGATTCATAATGAATTCTTAACATCTTTCGTTTAATGGATATCCACAAAGTAACGCTCCATTTTATTAAAATCAAAGTTGACAAACGACGGCAAGATATTCCAATGCTTTGCTGTATGCATTACGAAAGACGAAGCAAGCCGTTTGGTTCGTATGTGTGGAATAACAACAACAAAAGGGTGTAGGTCCATCGGCCGCATGATTGTGCATTGATTGAAATGGGAGGATTGAAGGCATTTAATTCCCGCACACGCTCTCCGAAATGCATCCTGTACTTTGCGTACGTGCTCGAGGCTAACAACATTGGTTTCAACCAAATTAAGGTCGCCAATAAGCCTTTTAGGTACTGGTCTTTCTAGACCTGCATAGCTCCTCGCACAAAAAAAGTCTTTTAGCACGTGTCTCCGTTACATTCTGCAGCTGAAAAATCAAGTATTGAGGCTTGACATTAAAAGGACATTGTAAAAATTCGCCTAAAGCCAACATATATTTGACAATTACCAAAATTCTTATTCCTAATTATGCATTAGATAACATTCAATATATAGTAACGGACACGGAATTGTAAAATCAAAATCAAAAAGACTTTTTAGATTTTAAACTTTGTACCTATTTTTAATACTAATATGCTGCGTTTATGGGCTCCTGTAATTTGGCCAATTGCACATTACCTTCACTGACATATTTCAAAAGTTGTCATAAACTCAAATATATTATGACAATGTTATTTTAAAATATACCTCATATTAATATATACCACAAGGAACTGGCATACAGTAAAATCATCCGTTTTCATATTTTAAAATAACAATACTATTGTACTCTCATTGGTCAAATCGGCATTTTGCCACGCGAAAAAAAAAACCTCAATAATGTTGACAGCTGACGAAACATTAAAATAGACAGTCATCAGACGTGTGATCGTTTTCGTTTTGTTTGAAAAAATACATTTCTGCAAATGTTTTCGGAATCTAAGTGCACTGTGCAGTTGATTTGTTATGCGATAAGTTTACCTAATCACAACCTCAGTTATTAACCGTATAAGTGCTAGGCTAAGACTGAACTACTTACATTAACAATAACATACTAATCTATAATATAAAAATGAATCGCTGAATGTGTTGCTAAGCGCAAATCTCGAGAGCAGCTGAACCGATTTCGTTAATTATTTTTGTAAAATATTTCTTGAAGTACGAAGATGGTTCCTACGGAGAAAAAATTTAAAAAAAATGCCTGTAAAAGTCTAAAAACAATACTTTTCTATATTCCCATACAAAAGATTCGTAATAATACTTAAAAGTCAATTTGAACTTTAATACCACTCCATAAAGTTTAAGTGTTAGTGGACGTTAGTATCGTATAAATATTAATGTCAATATTTGTCAATATTTATACACACTGACAGATAGCTAATGTTATAGGGTGTAACTTAGGCTGCTTTTATTTTAGGGTTTCGCGAAAAATAACTTCACGTGGGGAAGTCGCGGGGAACAGCTAGTGTTTCATAAAAATAAAACATAACCTCCAAATCTCTATGATAACTGCTAATATCTATGTTTTCAGAAGTGTCCGTCAGGAGTTATTGTTCTTACATACAATTTTGTGTAATTTCGGACTTAGAAAGGTATTTTTGTTGGTTCTTAGGCTAACATTGTTTGTACGCAAAACAATGTCATTTACGGTAGGCTTCAAAGCCTAAAGTAAATTTTTAGTTACACCTAAAAATTTGAAAACAGCTCTTACTGCAAAATTAAAATTATAACGTACGCTATTTTAAGAAAATATTGGATATCTGCTTTACTCTTGGCGAATTTTATTTGTGTTGTAGCGGGGCTGCAGGTTTTAGGACTGCAGTGCAGTAAATTGGCATTGACAGTTCCAATATTTTTTTTTTATAAAGAGGTTGATTTATTCTGAACTTTTATATTACCGAACTGTCAGGGCAAGTAGAGATAAACGGCCGTGTATACGTACAGTTGTTATATGTGTTAAAAGGCTGTGATCACTGTTTATTGGCGTGTATTCTGTCAGTGGTCTCAGACAACAAGATCCGATAGTAATAGTATTTGATAATACGGAATATACAGTAAAAGTTGGTTAAGTGGGACCTGGATAAGTGAGAAACCTCCATAGTTAGAACTCATGCTTAGGTCCCGACATTTTAGTACTGAATTACCTCTGTTAGTGAGACAAAACATTAGTTCTCTCAATTTTATCTTCATAATTTCCTCTATAATTGAGACAGCGAGTGTATTTTCCCTTTTTTTCTGAGACTATATTTTAGGGATTAGTTCTTTCGATTTTATTCGTCATAATTACCTCTATAATTGAGACAATGAGTATACTTTACCTCTTTTACTAAGACTATATTTTGTGTATAGTTTTGTTTACTAATTCTTATTCTACCTGCAAATTCCGCACTTTGCTAATTGTGTAAAAGTGACCTCCAATTTTAGTTTGGTTTAGTCATCTTTCGGATGTTTATGTTTCAAAGGTGTTAAAACTTTGCCTGAGAATTACCAAAATAATCAAAAAGTTTAGATGACATCTACTATTTTTGCCGATTGGATGAAGAATTTGAATCAAGTAATGAAGTCCCAGAAATTAAAAATTTTGATGTTTGTAGACAATTGTACAGCTCACAATAATATGCCCGATCTAAATTTATAACATTGATAAACATATTACTGCTGACACTTCCAAAATACAAACTAAAATAACAGATTTTTTGATTGACGCATTCTGTACGCATTTTTGTATTGTTTATAAAATATATTTTTGTTTAATAGCTTTTTTGATTATACATGCACACGAATTATACATACGTATTAATTATATGTTATAACCTTAATATTAAAGTAGCTATTGATTTCTCTTTTGAAGTATCATTAAAATTGGTTCAGCTGTTTCTTAGAAATCGGTTAATATGTATAAAATTCATACGCGTTGAATATAGAACTTTCTTGTTTTTGGAACTCGGGTGAAAACTCTAAACTAAACGAGTGAGCCTGACGAATGGGAATTCAAAAACCTTTTTTTACTGTATCCTTTTAACAAGGCTTCGAAATTCATTGTTAAATACCGATATCTATTATATTGACGACTAGCGATTCGCTCCGGCTACGCACGGGTGATTTCTGCATCCCGACAACAACGCCACCTACCGGGTCTAATTGTGAATCTTAACCACCCCTGTACACATTAACTTAAACACACACAAAAAATTTCATCAAAATCAGTCGAGGCATTTTTGAATTTAAGCGAGACTAACGGACTGCAATTGATTTTTAAAGATTATATAATATAAGCATTTAATTATCATTCTATGAAAGGTACAATGTTATTAATATGCTAAAACTAAAGAAAAGTAAAGTAACATATATTCTAACACAAAGTAACGGCCTATATTTGCCATGGTGGCGCATCTACACACTGCGTTTCGTCCCGTGGGTGTCGCAAGAGCCGACTGTGGGATACAGCGGAAAGATATTTTGGCTTCCGATAAATAACGGTAGGCATAAAATACCCAGACTAATGACGGGGAACAGCGTCAAAGGTATGAGAGGTTGGGTACTGCAATCGTGAATCTCTTAGCCAAGCGTGGCGATTACGGCATATCCTCCCTACAACGGGAGAGGCTTATATCTAGATGTCGGATGTTAAGAGCTGAAGATGAAGACATTAGTCTATATACGTCCCACAGCTGCCCGAAGTCCTCTTCTCACTTATTATATAAATCTCAAAATTAGTGACAGGCCTTCTATCATTTCTAAGATATTTATAGAACAATTAGTCCGCCACGCTTCTTCAGTGGGTGTCGGCGGACTTACAAGTCTTCGTACTATTTTCATTCCTTAAACATGCAGTTACCCTCATAATATTTTACTTTACCGTCGAACTTGTGGTAAATCAATACTTAAAAATGTAAACAATAATTTTATTGGTGCAGGCGGAGATCGAATCCGTGTTGCTCACGTAGTACTGTGAAATTACAGGAAGCGCTTACTGAGTTACCACGACTCTATTAATATGTAATTGTGTTTAATAAATTGATTTTACTAGAAACTTTCTGTTTTCGAGAGTGAACACAATTTTATCTTTGTTAATTTATGCAATGATTTTACATAATTTTATATAAAAAGAAGGATAACTTTGTAACGCATAAATAACACATTTCTTATTTAAGTTAATACTAGAAGTTTTAAAATTTATTGTGATTACTAAACTATGTTGACTAATCAGGACTTATGAAAAGGCTTTGAGAAAAAGTAGTACGACGCGGATAACTTCTATTGCATATAATTGAAATGTGTTAATACTATTTTATTGAATTTGTTATTGTTGAAAGTATAGTCAATCTTTAGAATTTGTGTAAATTTTTTTGTAATAAAAATAATCCGTCTACGATTTTAATCATAAAAATAAATTAAAAATTAAAAACATACCGTAAAATATATATGTTCGTGGTAAACGTATTTGAAAAGTCCAAAACTGTACACACAAGAGTCGATAATGTTTTTAGTCACAAAATATTTTTTTAATTTTTTTTATATAATCTTAATGGTCACTACTGCGTCCCTTCCGCGCGGATTACGAACGACAACTGAATTTGATGCGTTTGCGATGCGATCGGCAACGTACGCGGTTCACGTGCTGATTGATCCTCTTGCGTATTTCGCTTACGTATGCGATGGAATTATTGTAATTCGAGGTCGAGGCACCTCGAATTACAATAATTAAAAGTATAATACTAATAATAGATTTATTATTGGACAGTATTATTTTGTGTTACAGAAATAGTTAGGAATTTTATGAACTAAGCAACAAGTGGCTGTATGTTCTAGTAGTTAGAATACCTATTTTCGTCACAGGCAAAAAAAAACTCTTATTAATTAATTTTCCGTAATGTTCACAAAATTATGTCTTATATTTAAGCGAAAACTGCACATTGAATAAAATCAATTTTATAGATTTTATCACGTTTAATTTTAACTAAGTTTTAATTCCCAACGATAGCTTGTAGTGCAAAACGTTCTGATGACAAAATTAATTCGGACTATCTTTAGTCTTAAATATTAAATTTTGATACTTCTCTGTCAAATTAAGCTATATGCTTCTCTTTTTTTTTTATAGGATAGGATGACAAACGAGCACATAGTCCACCTGATGGTAAGTGGTCGCTGTGGTATTCTGTGAGAGCATGGTTTATAACTTTATAATAACATTAATAAAGCAAGGGGTAAAAGACTAAGAGTCACATAAATCACTAACTAACAACGAAGTAGTCATTAAGTTTACATAGTACATTTTAGTTTATTTTAATAGTTTTCTTGATACCAAAGGATAGGGCGTTTTACAGTTAGTATGGACTGCACAGTAATAAAGGAAGCAAAAAAAACACCGCAAGTAAATAACCATTATTAATGTTGAAACATACCATTCTCAACTGACCTCAAAAAAAGGTTGTCAATTCGACTGTATTTTTTTATGTGTGTTACTTCAGAACCTTAATTTTTATAGGTGAACGGATTTTGATGATTCTTTTTTTATTTGAAAGCTGGTATTTCTCATGTAGTCTCAATCTCATATAAATTTGATTAAGATCTGACCAGTATTTTTTGAGCTATACTTAATAATGCGTATTTAATTGACTTTGACTACAGTGCTGGTGTTTTCATTTTATCTACCGACTTCAAAAAGGAGGATGTACTCAATTCAACCGTATGTTTTTTTATGTGTTTTTCTGGGTGAACCGATTTCGAGGATTCCTTTTTATTTGAAAGCTGTTGCTTCTCGTATGGTTCCATAAAAATTTGTTCAAGGTCTGACCAATAACTTTTGAGTTAAACTTAATAATTTATATTGAAGTCGGTTGTACAAATTAAAAATATTGAAGTCGGTATACAAAATTTTTTATTTTAACACTTGTGTAATATTGAGGAGCATAATTTTTGTCTTCATTGGATGGAAATGGTAGATAAGATCAATATTAGAGAGCACTCTTGAAATTTCTACAATCATCATTCATTCCAGCACTGCCGCCTGTTATAATCCACACGTATAGATAGATATTTCGGTTATTCATTACCTACTTCATCGAATTCCGGCATGAATCTTAGTTCCTCATTCCAGTGGGGTTCGCGCCACACTACGCATCTCTATATCGACCTGCTACTCACAAGTCCACATCTAAACATAGCTTTTCCCTGAAGATTGCTCGAAACACGATGCAGAAACCCCTAAATCCATAAATTTCTTCCTTTTCTTACTTGGTTTTCACTTAATTGTGAAGGCTGCCACTTGAAAACAGTTCTTGGTTCCTCGAGCTATATATGGCCAGCCCATTGCCGCTTAGTTGCCACTTGCTTATTTAGTTATTATTAATCTATACACTTATAAAAATAAATAAAATTGAAGTGTCTGTTTGTAATGTTAAAATATCAGTTTTATACTAAATGCATATGAAAGTATATACGGTACTAAAAAGAAAAAAACAATTATGAAAAATTTTATCTGTCTGTCTGTCCGTATGTTCCGACTATTCTCTGAAATGCGGGGGATAGCTAGTCTATAATTAAAAATCAATTGCTGTCCTTTAGTCTCGCAAAAATTCAAAAACGGCTCGACCGATTTTGATGATTTTTTTTTGTGTTTGAATGGATTCCTAGATGGTTTAGATTTACACTTGAGCCCGGTAGGTGGCGCTGTTATTAAGATCCAGAAATCATCATTTGGAAGCCGGGGCGGATCGCTAGTCATTTATAAAGAATTATGTTACTAACAATTTTGGATCTTTGTTTGACTTATAAGACATATATACAGTGGTAGAGCCACGCGGCAGCTTTTGCTGTCGCATGGATGGGCCGGCTCGAACCAGGGTAGTACCACGACCTCACAGAATACCAGCGTGAAGTAGAGGTTTACCTCTGCGTTTCGCTTGGTGAGTGCAGGCGGCCGGAGGCCTATTTTACTGGAAATGAGGCATTCCATCTTAGTCCTCACGGGTGACAACGCATCTACATTTTGATTTGTAACAGAGGATAGATGTAGATGTCTATAGGCCGCAGCAACCACTTACCATTAGGTGGACTGTGTGCTCGTTTGTCACCCTTATCCTATAAAAAAAAACTATATTTGAATTTGAGAAATATCTTTGTATTAAGAAACTCTGTGAAAAACTGTAGTGAAAATTGGTGCTTACGGTGAGATTGGATAAAAAAACGTTACCATGATAATTAATATGAAGCTGTAGAAAAAATACCTCCTCTCCAGGGTGTTCTCTAAGAGTAAATGTTAGATTGTTTTGATGTATCCCAAATGATCACCTTATGATGCATACAGGATTGTTTTTCCACGAGAGAACTTCTTGACAATTACAATCATTATTTCAAAGGTTGGAATGCACGCTTATATTGGGTAAAGAAACATAACCCAAATAATAGTCTGGTGCTACAGCCAGGATTGTTTATTTTCTGAATTACCTCAAAACTTGAGATGTAAGAATAAAAGTGACTGAAGCTATAGCCAGAAATCAGCTTTTCTCGAGTGATTTAACGGCTTATGCCATATTAGTTTTGAAATGCGGTATACACTTACAAACAATATCGATATTGCTGTCAAGGTTATTTCCTACTCATGAAATTCTTTAATGGCTGCTGGTAAGCATAATGACGTGCTGCTGTGACTGGGGTGGTCTCTATAAATGGAATTCGTCTTCTCGAGCGTGAATGATAAGGCTGCTATGCGTATGCTGGGGAAGCGAGGAGTCCCCTTAAATAGTTACAGGTTGTTTTTCTATATAAAAAATAATTGTTTATTTTCTTCGATATATGTAGTGTCTTGAAATTTAGTTGAAACATTAGGCTTGGATAAAAAAGGTAATAATATAGATAAAGTTAAAAGTTCATCTTAAATATTCTATTTTACTGAGGCTAGGATGTTTTCTTCTTGAGGATACTTCTTATGAATAAATAAAGTTACGAATATTACGTTATTATACTAAATTTAATATTTAATTAATATTATCTTTATATTACTTTTAAAGCGCGTTTTTATGTACGAGCACGAATTTATTTTAATTACTTTGTTCCGTTTATTTATTCAATGGCCTTGTTTCCTTTTATGCTTTGAACTTGAACTTTGAATATACTTATTTTTGACGTAATATTAATTAGAGTGCAATGTCCAAGGCATAAAATGGAACTCTATTCACTTTACCTGGCAATCATTTCGTCTGTCCATCTGTCCGTGCGTATGTCACATATCTCTAGATGGTATATCCGATACCGAGTTTATATGTAGAAATCATCATCAATTATACTATTTTGCATACATGAAAAAGTTAAAGTTAAAGTTACAGCCTATATACGTCCCACTGCTGGGCACAGGCCTCCTATCATTCCTGTGAGGGTTTTAGGGCAAGGAAGCGTCCGCCGCGCTGGCCAAACGCGTGTTTTCGAACTTCACATTTTTAAAAATTTTTTTTCTTATTTCTCAGATATGCAGGTTTCCACACTTCCTTCACCGCCGAGCACGTGGTAAATCAACACTTAAAGTTGCAATTAACAATTTCATTGGTGCCAGCGGGGATCGAAACCGGGTTGCTCGCGTACTGGGAAATTTACAGCGAGCGCTAACCATCTGAGCTACCATGGCTCTGCATACATGATAATAAGCGAAAATTTTTTTCTTACTCTATCACGTGGAGTGTCATTGAATAGTCATCATTGAGTAGAGTACAAATCGTTGTATTTTTTTGTCCTCCTTATTCGATAAAAAAGGGGGCCTATATTTCGTCCTATATTTCGCTTATCAGTAAGAGGATGCGACTCAAGAACATTTCTTCCCCACCGGTTGACAGTTCTCAGAGCCATATGGCCATGGCTATGGGTAGTGTATATTCTCATTTTGAAATCTATCAAGCAGGGAAACTCCCAGCAAATCCCGCTCTATAGCTCGCAAAGCTATCTTGAGACTGGTCTTTTAGACCAGGATGAAGGACCACGCCTTAGATCCATAGGGCATCACTAGCAATTCGCACTTTTTGTAAAGTATACATCTTTGTTTTCAAGATGTAAGGTATAAGTGACGAGATGCCGAACGCTGCCCAGCCGAGTTGGATCTGTCGATTGATTTCTTGGTCAGTTTTACAACAAATTTGTTATTACAATTTTTTCTTGGTAAACATACTTGTCTGCAACTTCGAGCGTAGTGACCCCATCAACTTCCGGTATATGTGTGACATGACCGTTGCATCATTGATTTGGTACCATTTTATTTGTAATGCAGTTAACTTTTATAAATGCTATACTTTATAATACCTAACAGTTATCGTTTCCTAATATTAACACTTTCGCTGTCCCGTGCACTATATATACGAGTAGGTCATTGCTATTGTCTTACTATTGTGTCTGGAAACCAGACAGTGAAAGTGTTAATTTATATAATAAAGTAATAATAAAGTGCCATGAGTTGGCGACGTAATAGAATCCATTACTCAATGATTTCTTATGTTTACGCGAATACTTCACATTTAAATTAAAGAGTCCCCCGTCACTACATCAGATTTGATAGACCACAAATGCTCGCTAAAGAACACCGATTCC